AAAAAAAAAAAAAACCCAAACTCACTGCCGTCCAGTAAATTCGACTCATAGCGACCCCTCCTTGAGTTTCCAAGATGGAATCTCTACGGAAGTAGATTGCCCAGTCTTCCTTCTGAGTAGTTGCTGGTGAGTTTGAACCACAAGCCTCCTGGTTAGCAGTCAAATGCCTTAGACTCCCTGTTCCACCTGGAACATGTCATTCAATGTGATTGCTTGTGTGGTTGTTATTATATTTAGACAAATGGACTTTCTTATAGTTAAAAAAAAAAAAAAGAAAGAAAGAAAGAAACAGAATTGAGAGTAGATAATTTTCATGGAGGCCTTTAGAAATCGATACAAGTTTAGGGGAAGGAGTCTGATGTTCTGCATCTTCTGGGAATCTGTAAAATGTTTTCAGGCTATGCTGATTTTTATCAGGCAGATGTGCTTCTGAGATATTTGAGAATTTCTGCATGCAGCCACAAATGTTTACTGGGTCACCAACTCTTGTATAAAAATACAAGAAAATCATGCAGAAATGTTTATGCTCTACCAAATGAATTCAGCATGTGAAATGGAAGTTCTATCACATGGCCTATATGTTTTTTTTTTTTTTTTCCTTTTATATCTGGACAACTTTAAACAGTGAAGACTGAGGTATATATACACTCTGGATGTTTACAAAATTCTTCCTGACTTAGGTCAGCGGGACCATGCACATTTGAAGCAATGTGGCAAAATTTGCACCATTATTTCTATAAAGATTTTGTTGGTCTGGGAAAATGCTTAGTGTTTTTTTTTTTCTTTCCAATTAGCTTTATTGAGGTATAATGAACATATAATACAATGCACCCATTTTTAGTGTATGAAGATATAATTTTTAATTATGAAGGTTTTTTTCCTTCTCTTCTGTCATGATACTGCCTTGGAAACCCAAGGAAGGGTTGCTATGAGTTGGATCCAACTCCATGGCAGTGAGTTTGGTTTCTTTTTCTTTCTTTCTAGGGATACATCTGTAATGGAGACTTGGAACACCTTTTTGGGGATCATCTTCCTTACAACTAGCTTTGGATTCATCAAGTCACAGAGAACTGGTAAGACATCAGATTCTTTGAGCTAAAACCGATTACCTTGCCAGGAACCTAAAGTAGTGACAATCTCAAAAGAATATATATATAGACACCTCATAATTAACAAAAAGGAAATGATTCTCTTAAGGAGAAGTTAGTCAGAATCTGGAAGATTTTAGGGAATAGTAGACACTTGATTATTATTATTATTATTTTTCCCCAAAGCTTAACCCCAAATGAATAGGAGCCTGGGTGGTGCAAGTGGTTTGTGATTGGCTGCCAAGCAAAGGGTTGGTGGTTCGTACCAACCCACTGGCTCTGTGAGAGAAAGGCCTGGTGATTTGCTTTCGTAAAGATTGCAGCCTGGGAAACCCCATAGAGTAGCTGTACTCTGTAACACATGGGGCTTGACTTGACAGCAGCTAACAACAACAACCTCAAATGACAAAAAATTGATAATAAAAAATCTGTATCTCTGGATGATTTACCAGGCTCTCAAATGCTTTTGTAAACCTGAGCCTATTTTATTGACTGCATTTTGCTTCGCTTTCTTTGACAGAGCTTTTCTGAGAATGTCATCACAAGATGGATAGCTTTACCAAATGCTAGTGACACCTCTGCAATTTTTTTTTTTGCAATCATTTAAATAGGTTGTTGGGTCTTTTCAAAAAGAAAGTCTCATCAAGAGAAGATTGTTTGAATGGCCTGGAGCCCCACTGAGGCAATATTGAGATTTAAATATTCAAATATAATCACACAGACTGTTATTTGTTGGGGAAAAAACCTGAAACTCTCTAAATTTTCCCTTCAGCTCTGACTGCCCTCACTTGTGAACAGAAGCTGCAACAGTCAGTCTTTCCATGTTTCAAACACCTTCTGATATTACAAAGAACTGGTGGAGAAAGTGACAATGTATAAAAATGTAGTATATCTAATACATTTCTCAAGTTGCACATGATGGAACCAATACTTACTAGTCTGAAAAATATTCCACAGCCATGCCGTGAAGTTTCTCCTGATGATTGGAAACATCAGGGAAATACTTTGTGGTCTGCATTTGATGTTTCCTCAAAGACATGTTAAGGGTCAAACCTGTCAGCCATTTCTGGAATTCTGAATTCTCTCTTCCCCAAAGGATAGCATTTTGGGGATCCAAAGAGAAATAAAGCTCACAGGACCTGAAACTCATTTATTATCTTCCTTTCCCCTGATGGTGGCTCCACTTGGCTTTATGATCCAATAGAGTCAGTAAAATTCTGAGATGGGGGACCCAGGACTCCAGAAATGACAGATGATTTTGCATCTCTGGGTTACACCAGCTTTCTCCAACCCTTCTTTGTCTAAACTCCCACTTGATTTTTCTCTTTTCTCAAAGCCTTCAGTCCTTTGCCTTTCTGTAATATGGGTTTTTAATTTAATCCTCTTTATGGCAGTATAAGGTATGGACTGAATACCAAGAGACCTGGGTTCTAATTCTAGCCGTTTGAATTGATTTGCACTAGTTATTTTGCCTTTTGAGGTCTTAATTTCCCTTTCTGTAAGATGAACAAATTGGATTCATTATTCTGTACTTGTGCTGCCCAATACAGTAGCCACTAACCACAAGGAGCTCTAGTGGCACTGTGCCTAAGGCATTGAGTGCTAACCAGAAGGTTGGCGGTTCAAACCCACCAGCCACTCAGCCAAAGGATGATGGGGCAATCTACTTCCGTAAAGATTTATCGCCTTGGAAACCCAGTGGGGATAGCTATGAGTTGGAATGGACTTGATGGCACTGAGTATGGCTTGGTTAAACCACATGTGACTATATAAATTAAAATCAATAAAAGTGAAATAAATTTTAAAATTCCGTTTCTCAGTCATGCTAGCTACATTTCAAGTGCTCATTAGCTGCATATGCCTAATGGCTACCATATTACATTGCATATTTCCAGAAGACCATTTCTAGTTCTAAAACTTTCTGATTATGTTATTGGTTCTGATTAATATTCAAGGTTTTGTCCTTGTAAGTGATATCTACCTCTTTCCTCCTATCTTTTCTCCCTCCTTCCCTCCTTTTCTTCCTTCCTTCCTTTTTTATTTAAGAATATATGTTATTCCTCAAATATACATATTTTTTAAATTCATGCTAGAAACTCACATGGTGAGCCTGCCCCCAACAAAGGAAAATAAATAAAAAAGAAGAAATGGTATCTGTTCTCATGAAATGTACACACTTGTTAGGGGAGATTGTCATTAACCAAACAAACACACTAGTGAGTGTTATGTTACAAATTGAGATGAAAGAGCTTGAGCATATGGTAATATACAGCCCCCTCCTACCAAAAAAAGAAAGAGAGAAACAGAGAAGGAAAGAAAGAAAGAGAGAAAGAGAAAGAAAGAAGCAGAATCTAAGACAACAGCATGCTCAGGCCTTAACACAAGAGTGAGTGTAGTGCATTTGAGAAACTGGACTAAGAAAGTGGGAACACGAGACCAAGGTAGCAAAGGTAGAGAGTTGAGAGTCTAGAGAGACAGGGCAGGGCCTGTCCATGCCAGTATTTTAACCCCTTCTGGAGCAAAAACAGGTGCAAGATTAATGTGGGATAATCCTCCTGCAGCTTTTCAGCCACTTTAAACTAAAACCATTTTAAACTGGTTACTATTTTTGTTTTTCCTCCTATCACTAATTTATGTTCCTTTTCTACTATGACAGATAATCAAATTGGGAACTATGGGAGAGAAATCATGCTGGCTGCTGAGAAATAAACAGTTCATTAATCACCCTTCTTCTTTCTGTTCACACAAACACTGTGGTTAATCCACATTTTGCTTCTTGTCACAGAAAAATAAAGTTTAATTTGAGTTAGAAGACACCAGGTCATCTGGTCAACTTCTCATTCTAGAACGGGCCAATCTGAGAAGATGAGAGATTAAGCTATTTGCTCAAGTTCTGCAGCTAATTGTTGCCTGATCGTTTCTGTGCTGGACAGCAGGGTGGGCTTGGCTGGGTACCAGATGGTCTGACCATTGTTGGGATGGTGGTTTCTAGGATGAGAGCTGGGTCTGGGGATAAGTAGTTGCACAGTGCAATCTTGAATTCAGGGAGTCAGAGGACAAAAGCAATTTAGAGAATGCCAAGCATCAAACTAAAAGGGGTTGGTGGTAGCCAGGAAGTGCCAGAGGTTAAAATCAGGTTCCCTAGAAGGAGCTCTGGTAGCTTAGTACCTAAGGCACTTGACTGTTAACCACAAGGCTAGCAGTTCAAATCCACCAGTCACTCCTCAGAAGGAAGGTTGGGCAATCTACTTCCGTAGTGATACTGCCTCGGGAACCCAAGTATGGGTCGCTATGAGTCAGATCTGACTCGAGAGCACATAACAACAAACAGCAACAACAGAAGCAGAGCCCAGGATGGAGATTCAGGTGTTACTTTGAAGGAGTCCTCTTTAGGACAAACCTACAAGAGAATGAAGGAAGTGAAAAAGAGCAAGGGAAGAAGCTGAGCAAGGATGCGGCCTCAGGCAAAATCAAATCTTGGCCTGATCTATAGGGGCTCTGGGCCATAAATAGCACTATAGAGTTGTCCCACTTAAGGCAAGGCAAGCCAGGACATTGTACTCCCATATCCATCAGACTTTGGCCACTCAGGGTGGTAGTGGTATAACTTCCCAGGTGTTTCCCAATGAGGCTACTCCCTTCAGCCAAGGTCAGATCTCTGGAGAAAGCTACAGATATGAACAGTTAGCTGGAACACTTAAAAGGGCAGAAGGTGGAAGTACCAGCTGGTAAAGGGGATCTAGGTTTTGACTACCAACAATATCCACTACTAGTTGAAAGCTGGTTTCTTTTGTTGAGTTCAAGGAGTAAGTAGAAGGCAAGGGTCAGGAACCTAATCAAAGGATCAAGTGTATGTTATAGTGGTACAGAGGGCTGGAAGGGAGCAAGGGTGGATGCTGGACATGAGGAAGCAAGGGAAGATGATGGTTTGCCTGGACCCAGTTCATATTGGAGACGATTAGGGACCTGTCAGTGTGGATCCGGGAGATATAAAGGTGCTGAATTAGGAGAGATGGATCCCAGCTGAGAGCTATTGATTCTTTAACGTTTTCCTTTAAAGTACCTCTCTTCCTCAGTCTGCAGGAAGGCCTCTGTGGGAGATGTCGTGTTTCTGGTAGACAACAGCATCAATCCTCAACAGGCCCGTAGCGTGCGGAACTTCTTGTCCACGCTGGTAAATGGCTTCCATGTCAGCAGAGATACCATCCGTGTGAGTCTGGCCAAGTACAGCAATGAACCCAGTTCAGAGTTCCTCCTTTCTACCTACCACCACAGAATCGATGTATTGAGGCACATTCAGAGGCTTCCATTTAAGCCTGGAGGCAGGAAGACGGGCCTGGCTCTGCAGTTCATCCTAGAGCACCACTTCCAGGAAACAGCAGGCAGCCGTGCAAGCCAAGGGGTGCCTCAGGTCGCCATGGTGATCAGCAGTGGCCCAGCTGAGGACCGTGTCCATGAACCTGCAGAGGCACTGAAGAGAGCAGGCATCCTGCTTTATGCTGTTGGCATCAGAGATGCAGTTGGGACAGAGCTCAGGGAGATGGCAAGCAGTCCTGAGGAGAAGTTTGTCACCTTAGTTCCCAACTTCCCTGGCCTGGGCAGTCTTGCCCAGAGGCTGCGTCAAGAGCTCTGTGATACTTTGGCAAAGGCAGTTCAACCTGTTGACCACATCTCTCCAGGTACAAAGGTTTTCCCTTTTTACTTCTGATCTGGAAGGCACAGACCTCAAAGCTTTATATACCTAATTTATTCTTCTCACTGTCCTTATTTTTCAGAGCTTAGGGGGCTAGTATTTGGGTTAGGTGGAGTTGTTAAGGTACCTTGATTGCTTGGGCACACTTAATATTAAAGGTTTAATCTTAAAATTAAAATTTCACTAACCTATTTGTACTCCATGCGCCTCTTCAGTCATTAACCAAACACTTATCAACTGTTTTCTTGTAAACCCCATAGTCTGTATGCTGGTTCTGTATGCTGATGTTGTATAAATCCACTATTGAAGGAAGGATTATTTGTTTCAGGTCAAGTAAGGAGTCTTGGGAAGAAGTTGTCTACCTAGATGTCATCTTCTTCTCAACCTTAGGACTTTTGAATTTAATTTTTGTAGAGAGATTAGTATTATTATTTCTATCTTTCCAGTGAGGAGATGAAGGTAACACAAGGATATGGCAGAGCTTGGACTTGTTTGCTGTTTTACAGAAGACCCATTCCACTAGAATATATATATGTATGTATGTATGTATGTATAGGAGCTCTGGTGGAGTAGTACCTAAGGCATTTGACTGCTAACCAGAAGGCTGGCAGTTCAAACCCACCAGCCACTCCTCGAAAGGAAGATTGGGCAATCTATTTCCGTAGAGATACCTTCTTGGAAACCCAAGGAGGGGTTGCTATGAGTCAAATTGAATTAATGCTATATTAATAACATATCTATTAAGGAGGGAGGAGCTCTAGTGGCACAGTGGTTGAGTGCTCAGTTACTAACCCAAAGTGTGGCAGTTTGAGCCCACCAGCTGCTCTGTGGGAAAAAGACAAGGCAGTCTGCTTCTGTAAAGATTTACAGTCTTGGAAACCACATGGGGCAGTTCTACTCTGTCCTATAGGGTCACTATGAGTCAGAATCAACCTAATGGCAGTGGGTTTGGTTTTTCATTATATATTAAGGAAGAGCTTCCAGGAGAAGAAGTCAGTAAGGATGTGGATGATGCAGGACAGAGAAGTAGAGGAAGGTAAGAAAGGGTGTGTGATCTCCGGAAAAAGGGTTGCTTTAGCCTGATGCTACAGGGGAACTCAGGAATGTAAGTTACACATTAGAGTTGCCTTAACCCAAAGTAAGGGACCAGGCTTTCATATCTTACAGGCAAAGCAGCTCCAGTAGTTGGAGGACAGGCCTTCAAAAAGCAGCATAAGAAATTGTAACAAAGAATTCAAGGAGGTCTGGGCAGAGCTCTCATATTATCTGCTACCATAGATTATCTTATTTTATCCTTATAACACTCCTGGGACAGTATGAGGGCCGGTATAAAGATTTCAGTGCTACCGAGAAGAAAACTGAGTCTCAAAGCAGTGAGTAATCAACAGATCACAAGGCTACTACGTGACATAACTGCAATGAGAGATATCGTGGTAGATGGGATGCACTCCAGCTTTCTGATCTATTGGGGCCAGCACATGCGAGAGATGAGGTTTCTCTGTCAGAAGGTAAGACGCTGATCACTTACTCCACTGAGAAGAGAACAGTCCTTTTCTCAGCCAGTTGCTCCATTTGCAGGAGTGCTTTTCTTCGTGGTGAGATTCAAAGGATTGCACCAGTGGATTTCAAGCCTGGAGGTATCAATAGAATAGGATAGAAGCATCAGAATACGATGGAGTAGAGGGAAGGCAAGGCAAGAGGAATGCCATTTCTCTAAGCACACTGTCACTCAAAGGTAATGTCTGAGATCCATTGAGCATAGGCTGCTTGGCGTTGCACAACTTTTCTGTACACCATTTGGCTCCAATGGTTCTAAGCATTTTGAGTGCAGACCCATTGATCCTATCCCTTTTTTCCTCTACTCTTACAGCTTGCAGAGAAGTGGCCCTGGCAGACATTGTGTTCTTAGTGGATAGCTCAACCAGCATTGGACCCCAGAACTTCCAGAAAGTGAAGAACTTCCTTTACTCTGTTGTCTTGGGGCTTGACATCAGCAGTGACCAGGTCCGAGTGGGACTTATCCAGTATAATGACAACATCTACCCAGCCTTTCAGCTGAACCAGTATCCTCTGAAGAGCATGGTCCTGGAGCAGATCCGGAATCTGCCCTACCGCCCAGGAGGCACAAGCACGGGAAGTGCCCTGGAGTTCGTCAGGACCAACTACCTGACTGAGGCAGCTGGCAGCCGGGCCCAGGAAAGGGTTCCTCAGATAGTTATCCTGGTGACAGATGGAGAGTCAAGTGATGAAGTCCAGGAGACTGCTGACAGGTTGAAAGCAGATGAAGTTGTTGTGTACGTGGCAGGAATTAATGTTCAGGATGTCCAGGAGTTGCAAAAAATAGCCAGTGAACCATCTGAGAAGTTTCTCTTCAACACCGAAAACTTTGACATCCTGCAGGATCTCTCAGGAAGCATCCTTCAGACTCTGTGCTCTGCAGTGGAGGGTAATATTAAAGGTAAGAGGCTGTTGTGATAAAACCCGAGGTTTCAACCAGGTCAAGTTTCCTACATCTCTTCACTTAATATTTTCCTTTACGTTGACTCTCTCTCTTTCTTTTCCCGCAAGTTTCAGATATTTATTATTCACTGTAAGGCCCCAACATGATACACCAATGATTTCATGCATTTGGGGAAGAAATATATCCTGGTTAAGAGGAAAACTGTGCAGATGGCTTTTGGAAGACCTCCGTTGTAAGCAGCTTTATAGGAAAATATTTAATTTAGAAATCAGGGCCTTTTTTCTTCAGTTTGCTGTAATTCACATTCACTGAGTAGAACTTGTATTGATCATTGGGATCCAATTTGTTTCATAGTTCTAGGTTATTCTTTCTGTCCCAGGTGACATCTGGATTAAAGAATGCCAGACGCAAAATATGCAGTGCTGCTCCAGTACCTCCAGCTCCAATAAATACAAAGAGAGCTATCAAGCTTGGGTAATTCTTGACCTGACCTAGTATCTGGTGGAGCATGTTTGAGGCAGAGGTCTTAGGTCCAGAAGCAGAGAACAAACTTGACAGGCCCAAGACCTAGGACGCTCTACCTACATTCCCTCTCTTATTTTACTTACATTTGTTTTAAAAGATCACCACTACAAATGAAAAAATAGTATACTTTGACATTATTAGAAGGCAACTGTTGGTCTTAAGTTTGGTTACCTTCTGCAAAGTTCTGTGTCCTTCACCTGCCTTCTCTGCTCTATATTGCAGGGTGATGCCCCCAATAAGCTGTGTTATTCAGGCTCCTATATGAGGTAGTTTTAGCCAATGGGAGTCACTGGCAGGGTGAAGCGAAGGGAGAAGTCTCCCTCACCTGTGCGTCTGGCAGTCTCTGGCAGGAGCTTTGCCTCTTTGGTGGCCCTGCATTCTGCTAGGTGTGCTCACCAGGGATCTAACTCCTGCTGACCCCTTTCCCCCTGACCTCCAGTTTTACCACCTCTTCCTTTTGTTCCTCCACCCTGGACAATAATTTCTTACTTTTGTCAACCCTTGACTGTCTCTTTTTTTAGATTCTTACTTCTTCCAATATTGGTGTAATCAATTCCTTATATTACATTCTCCCTGTAAAATATTTAGAGTAGTTTCTGTTTTTCTGGTTGAACTCTGACTGATTTACAAACCATAAAATTTACACAGAAAAAGAGCCAGGTACCACATTCCACAGCAGCATCTGAACATGAAGCTGAAGTCTTTGGTTTAAAAGGGTGATTCGCAAACGATTATGGTGAGTTGCCTTTGAATTGGCTCCAACTCGTGACAACCTTATGTATGATAGAAAAAAATCTTGCCTAGTTCTATGTCTTCTTTGTGATCATTGGCTGGCTTGAGTCCATTGCTGTGGCTGTTGCGTCCGTCCATCTCATTGAAGGTATCCTTAATTTTTTCTGACCCTTTACTTTACCAAACATGATGTCCTTTTCTAGCTTTTGGTCTTTTCATGATGTGCAAAGTAAGTAAGCCAACAAATGGTTAGAGAGATTTTAAAGACATTCTAAAACCAAACCAGAAATTTTTTCTGGATTTAATTTGAACGATGAAAAAGAGGATAGACAAGGTAACAACTTTCTCACCTTGTGAATCAATGTTATTTAACACCATGTTGTCTACCATGTAAAGTCATCTCCTGTACTCCAAGTGACCCATACTTTGGGAAACATTGACTTTCACTAAGGTTGTCCTTGCAGTATCTAATAAGCTCATTCTGAGAATTATCTCAGAGTATTTATAAGCAATGTGAATATGCATGGATTCTATTCAGGACTTGACTGATATTAGTTTTTCTTGGCTGTCTTCCCATGTTCTGGTAACCATCAGTTGAGTTCCTTAGACATTTATTGTACACTTACTGTTTATTAGGCCTTGATCTAAGTAAGTAAGTCTTGGGAATACAAACACAAACAACTTGATAACCCTAGGACAGCGGATACAAAGAGATGATAGGAATTTTTCCATGCATAACATGGAATATGCTGTGAACTAGAGAGATATTAAGTGCTAAGAAATTCCTAACACTTATGGATACCCAAGTTTTTTTCTTTTTTCCCACAGACTAGTTCAACAAAAGCAACACATGGTGATTTTGATAAACAGGCTAAGGCTTGACTCTTGCTACTCCATTTTGCCACCCACAAAAATCCCTCCTTTGTAGCACATAATTTTGTGCTGGTAGTCTTTGCTGACTTCTTTGGCTTGTGTTTTAGATTCTGATGAATAAAGTTTTTTTTTTTTTTCTCACAGCATATTTGAAAATTAGATGAAAGCCTGGTATCAGGAAATCAGACTTCTAGTTACAACTGGTTACTTCAGTCTTGACTTCATCAGTGGGAATGAGAAGCCTTTTATATGTTTCAGAGTAGTTCAAGGGAGCTCTGGTGGTGTAGTGCCTAAGGCAT